GGACGGGGGTGCCGGTGCCCGGGCAGGGCTCTCCTCCCTCCCCCGGCAAAGAGCCCTCCCTGACACACCGCGACGGCCCGCTGGCCTCTGGTGCGGGTTCTCTGGCGGTAACCCCGCGGTGCTGGCACGGAGCGGCGCTTGGAAAGTGGCGGCATCGCAGGGGCTGTCGTCGAGGGGAGTCTGGGGCCGGTGGTGTCCTCAGCAGGGTTTAACGGTGACCATTCATCGCGTGTGGTTTTTTCCTGTCTGAGATTTGAAGTAAAAGCCTGTTGAGTTAATCGGCTCGCACGAAGTTTCTGTGGTAATAACTGCCTGAAGGTATTACTGAAGCTAATTTGCGAAACGCAGACGGCAAAGGTAGAAGTTGAAATACGTTTTGGTGTTTCTGTACTTGCTTCAGAGGTTAGAGCTTCAGAAATACACTTTTGGAATCGAAATAGCTCAGGATTTGAGTGTCTCAATCCAGGTCCTGAGCCGTTCTAGGAAGACCAGATTGCTTTGCAATCCAAAGTAGTTTCCAGGAATAATTTTGTAAAGCCTATGCAGAAGAAGCATATGCAATTAAGAAAAAACTCCAAATGAGATAAATATGGCTCCTAAAACCCTTGTCCAGCTTTTATAAAAATCTATCAAGTCTAGCATTTTGTCAAAATTATTGTAAAAGTGGAGCCCTGTGCGTTCACGTGCGTGCAGAAAAAGTCCAGTTTACAGCTGAGTGCCCCTTTGTTTGCCACTTTTAAAAGCAAAGCCATTTTCAATTATAACTTCTTGCAGCTTTCTGTCATGGGATGGGGAAGGAAGCTTTAGTATTATGTAATGAAAAATCAACTCAATGTTAACTCAGTATTGAAGAGGTTGTTACATTTTTCCCTTCTGCCTATCCAATATGAAGAGGTGCTAAACAATAGCAAAGGTTTCACTACAGCAGTGCGATTTTTAATTATTCACGTGGGTCTTCAGAGAATGAGCTGACAGAAAGTTACTTCTGTTCATAGAGGTCTAAGTTTAGAGCTTAAACTAAATTAGCCATACTTGGTGGAACGTCTCACCAGGAGAGTTAGATGTGTACTACTTTATCCGCACATGAATTTTATCTTCCAAAAAATCAGGCGTTAATTTTACTGAGATGTGGTTTCGTTCATGCTGAGGCGTTTGTTAATGCTTAACACTGTTCACTCAAATATTCTATGCTTGTAAGTGCAAAAAACAGCTGAAAATTTCCCAAGCTAAATGCAAAACATGCTAAGATTCAATCAAGGGTAAAATGTTATCTCCATTGAAACAACAAGATTTTTTCCAAGGGCAGGGCAAGGTTTCATCTTTTGTGTGCTCATTGAAAGTGAAAGATGTCAAGTACCAGAAGAGTTCCTTCTTGTTAAGTGCTGAATGCTGATGAGAAAAACCAAAGTCCATTAGTTAGATTTTTTATTTTTTTTAGTTTATTTCTTTTATTCTCCTTGAAACTATTGTTCTTACTTCTTGAACTGATGTTTTTGTTTTATATGCTTCGTGTAGATGAATGGACAGATGTGGACAGGAAACGAGGTACTGTAATCTGCTAGCTGCATGCAGTAGACGACACCACTACATGCACACATGAGGCTCATCGTACGTGAACACACTGTATGCTGTTCCTGCAGCCTTCTAGTCGTAGTCTCAAAGATGAATAATAATACTCACCTGTTCATTAAAATGCACTTAACTGTAGAGCTTAGAAAAAATAGACAGTATCTCAAAATCATATGGCTTCAAAAATAAGTTGCTAATTTAACCAAGACTATAAATAGATCAAAACTTTTTTGTCATAGCAGTCTTTCTAGCCAAAATGATATTTGTATTTTTCTGGCATTGTATTAATACAAGCAAATAATTGCGTGAGCACCATGAAGGTTGTTTTTCTGCTTAAATGCAGGAATATTATGTATACTGCATTTTTCTAAAATTTTTTCTAATCCATTGCTTAGGGTTTTGACAGGTGAACTCCAGGAAAGATTTAAGGCATTTCAATCCTAGCTGCTCATCCATCTCTGCTGGTGGTCACCACCCTTGCAGCAGAGGAATCACAGAGGAGCAGGTGCCCACACTTCAGCCCGGCTCATCTTGGCTGACGTTATCCCTGAAGGCGGGTTTGAGCTGAGCCATCAGGTTGGCAGTGGAGCAGCTGAGGTGTGAGCGTGCATTTCCTTCTGGACTCTGCCTTGAAATGGGAGCCTCCAGCAAAGGGGTGTGGTAAGGAGCTGGAGGAGGAAATAAATCTTTTAAACTTTCTCAGGTTTTTTGCTAGGTGAACACGAGTAGAATTTCCAGTGTCTTTTTGAGCAGCCCTCTTTTAAGAGAGATCAGGGTTATGATTCATGTTTTTCAAAATAAGCATCATTTGTAGGTTTTGAATATTTACTGAAGGTAAATACTGATACCCTGGAGTTTGCCCTGGCTTTATTTTTTGCTACCATTATGTGCTGTTTCCAAGAACATGTTTTTGCAGCTTTTAATATCTCTTAGAAGTCTAAAAGATTCTGTATTCCTCTTTTGTCACATCCAAAATGATGACGAGTTGTAGGAAGGCCCGCTTTATCATATGTAGATGGTAGCAGCAGAGATGCAGATCCCATGGTGACCAATTGGCTTCTCTTGTGAGAGAAAACAGTTTGCCTATGCATGCCGCTCAGGGCGATCTCTGAAGAGTTACATAGAGTAAGCAGCCGAGTCTGTTGCTGATGAAGCCATGACAAGGCGGCTTCGCCTGCCTTTGACCTTGTTACAGACTATAAACCTATTGCAAGTGGAATGGGTGACTGTTTTGAACTCGTAACATTCCCTCTGCTGCCTTGAATGTCCTCTGAGAAGCATGAGCACAATCCAGGCGTAAAGACTCCAGTCTCATGTCATGCATCTGAGCCATGTTGCGCGACAGCGTGCCAGACGCTGGAATGTGTCTGTCGCCAGTGACATGACGCACGTAGGCAAAACCCACCATAAATCCTCAGCTTCTCTTCTGTCCATTGCATTGTCTATACTTGGTTTCCCTCTCCCCATCCCAGTTGATGAAACCCCTCTGCTAAATTGCTTTTATGCTGTGTTGCTTGGCGTGCCATTTTCCCTGAGCTAACGCTCCTTTCTTTGTTATTTTCCGTTGTTAGAATGGTGTAAATACCTCCCTAGGGACTACATGTGCTCTGAGATCTCTTTGCCGTGTCGTTATCAAACATACCATGTGAGATTTGCCCTTTACCATGATTTTTTAATGTCTTTCTCAGTTCTTTTTATAGCCAATACAAGAGGTTTTAATTTCAGAAGATAATTTATATAAGGCTGGGTGTGCGGTTAACGCAGATCGTCCGATTCCATTGTGACTATCTACCAGCCACAGTCAGTGTACTGGGACGTTGTCTCCTGACAGTTGTGGTTATTAGCGACTCTCCAAAGACAGAGGAGAAGCCTTTGTGCGGACAACATACACAAACAACTTAAAAATATTTTTCTTGGTAGCAGTATCAGGCAAAAGTTCTTCTTTTTGATGTAATTGATTAATTGCAAAATGAAATCTATACTACTATATTCTAACACTAATACACTTGCTTTTCTCCGCTGAAGAAGGTGAGGATTTTTGCCTCAGCCTGCAAGTAGGGATTTTTTTTTTTTTGGACAGTTTATTTGAAAAGAAGGGAGGAGGAGCAGGGATTTTTTTCCCATTTGTAATTAGGTATATTTGTAATCCATGCTGCTCAGCAGCTGAGCTGAGATCTGTCTGTATTGTTTGCATACTTAAACAGGAGCTAGTGAGCCCCGTTAGGTACGGTGCCATGGATGCTGAAACGTGTGGGTCACCAGGGATGTACACCAGTGTAGGGGAAAACCTGTAAACATCAGGTTTAAGCAGGAAGAGAGAATCTCATCAGGAAGAGAGAATCTCATCAGAAGGCACCTGCCCTCAGGAAAACAGCTCTCCATGTCCAGGTGCCTACAGCATGCCCAGCAATGTTCCCCACAGAGTTAATCATCTAAGAAAAAGTGAAGTGACTGGGACATTAACTTTCTTTTAGCTGTTTGTGTAGCTTCAGTGTGACAGTTGTGAAAAGCCAGGTGTCTAACCCACCAATGAGCAATTATAGCAGCATTTCAAATAGCTAATCACTACCACTATGTGGATGTTCACTTCTTCTTTTCTTTTCTTTTCTTTTCTTTTTTTGTTTTTATTACTTCCTCTGAGATTTTTCGAATCCATAAGAATCAGCTGGCATTATGAGCTTCAGTAACAGTCATCTGCTTAGGAAAATTCATGCCTGTACAGTAATCTGTGTGAATTGAAATTTTTATTTAACATTTTTTGATAGAGAAATAAATGCTTGTTTATGATAACTCTGTAGAACGTATCAGGTATATAATAAAAGTATCAGATCCAGCACGAAAGCTAAGATGCTGCATCTGTTTGAATCACTGCAAAATGTTTTCTATCTTCTTTGCATTAAAAGCTCAATAACCAGAGCACAGCACTTATACTCAGCACTCCTGATCTTCACCTAGTCTTGAGTAAGTCACATAACAATTCCATGCCTAAATTTACACATGAAAGAAATGAAGCACGTCTAAGGAAGTTTAGCGTTCTTCGCTTTTGAACTGCCATAGTATCTGCAGATGTTGCAGTGTAAGAGCCCTGAACAGCCTGACACAGTGTTGTAAATGCTTCCTTAAATACTTGTCAGTGTTAATCTGTTTGAAACAAATACTTCATGGAGCCTTGAATCATTCAGGAGCTTCTGTTTAGAAGGAAAAATAGTGTCAAAGGGTAAAAAGAGAACAGGCATAGTCAGCTAGCTATAGTTTGCAAAAATCTAGTGTGATGCAAACCAGTCTTCCCAGGGAGCAGAACTGTAGCTTTTATAGATCATACGTGTCAGAGTGCCCTATAAACAAAATTATTTAAAAACTGAAAAGTGCTAGCCATAGCTATAAAAACAAGGCAACAAAACCAGTCTTATTCCCACAGGAAAATGGGGTTTGTTGTCTACAGCTCAAGTAGCATTTCTGCCCCTGGGGAGAGTCAGCAGGA